ACTGCAGCTCAGGCTTTTTCTTCGCTGTAACGCTGACCTTGTAGCTCGTTGGGCTCAGCAGTTGGGGTGCCGGTGACAAACGCTCACGGACGCTTTATTGTCGCTCTGCCTTTCGGCACCTATGTGCAGCATGTAAAGGCTTAGCTTCTTTTACAAGCCGCTGTATTTGGAGGTGTTGGCCGGTATAGTCGATGCTTGCTAATCCCAATGAATGATGCTATACAAGCTAAGTTCGTCTGGAAAGTAAACAATCTACAGTTAAACATAACTGTCACCAAGCCAGACTTTGTAAATTATTTAACTCATTAACTAGTATGTCTTTCTCTGCAGCTGCCACAGACCATGCAAAGCCCCAATTCACCGATTCAGCTGTACAGGACATCCTCACCAGGATTACAGGCCTGGACCTGCAGAAAGTGTACAGACCAATTAAGCAGGAGCTGAAGCCACCCACGTATAAACTCATGACAGATGAACAGCTGGAACAGGTGCCCTGTTGATGAAGTTTTACAGAATCCACCCCTTTTGATCGCATACATTCTTACATATGTTGGTGTTGCTTTTGTTTCATCCAATCCTTTTTTTGTGATTCTAGGCAGTCGAGTTAGCCAAAGAGCAAGCTAAAAAGCTGCTGCAGATGCCCCTTGTGTTGCAAGAGAGGAAGCCCATCAGCGATGTGCTCTGCGAGGATAAGATCCTGGACGGCATGGACACAGCTAAATACGCCTTTACAGACATCACCTATAATATTCCACACAGGGTACACACATCTTGCTTTCTGTGTGTGTGTGTTTAAGTGGGTATTAGTTGGCTTCCACAAGTCGATCAGCCGCAGTCCTGGCAGAGCAGTAATTACCCTTCCACATATCCAACGAGCGACTCTCGTATAGGATGCTCCGTTTTATTTGCTTTAAGCTACATTCGCGTCATATCTGCAAGTGACTTTGCAATCCACTTCCACCCCAGCTCATCTTTTCATGCTGCTTCTCATTTAGTCACCATCACTATTACTTTTATTGGTACCTGCTCTGTGCCAGACTGCCATATATAAAATACAGACTTTTTATTATAGGCGTCCTGACTGACGTGAGCTTCCATAATATATACAATTCTATGCCCCTAATTAGAGCAGGGCGATACGACCAAAAGTATTTATCACAATATACATTTGAAAATGTGCAATAACGACATAACTGACGATATAATTGACACTAGACAAAATACTTTACAACTCCACAACTTTATTAATGCAAATTAAAAAAAAACATCAATGTATTTTCACTTAAACAAGCAGCTGTTTTTTATGTGCATTAAAGTTTAACA